CGACCGACAACTCCGTCGCTGATACCTTAGTTTCTAGTAGTGTATAATTGCAAAATAAACTGCCAAAATCTATTAGAGAAGAAGTAGAATGATAAATAGAGTACCTGATGGAGTGGAGAAGAAGAAGAAAAAAGAGGTGTCAATGATGTTTCCTGGTAGAAAACAAGAGAAACACATAAATGAAGGGTTCCATTGGTAGTGGTGAATGCTTGGTCCTCGTCAACAACAAAGAAGGGCACCCATAGTTTAGGGTATAGTCATCACCAACAGTAAAATAAATGGGTGTTGTTTGTGTTCATGTAATCAATAAAGAGAAAAGGAAATAGGGTTTATTGGGTTTAGCTTCGGTGCGATGACACCGTGGGATCATAATTAACCTTTAGCGGCAATAGGTTTAATAACTTTAGTTGCAACATTCATTTGTGTGACACCTTTTGAAGCAATACTGGATAAATTAGGGTGACGCTTTCTTGGGTCTTTTTAGGTGAGCATTAGCTACGACAAGTAGTTGCCGCTATTGATGTGGCCCCTATTAGTTTTGTTGAGAACAAGTATTGGCCGTTGGATCAATCTATTCCATGGATGGCTATGATTGATTCTTGATGAAGCACATGAATAGTATTTTTGGGCAATAACGACGTCACCTTTAGTGGCGACATCAAGCGTGTCCGACTTACGGTTTCCGCTAAAGGGGACGCCACTACTCAGTGATGTCCCTGGGGTGTGCGAGTAGCTAGCACCAACTCCTATCAAAATGAAAAACAGCAAGTGGAACTTGAATTGAAGAAACAAGCCTCTATTAGAGAATGGAAAGTCGTTGCGCGTTGGTACGGTCGCATGAGGCCTTTGATTTTAAGAGATCTCCAAATTTAGGGACAAGTATATAGTCATTATGTTTGTATTTTCATAAAATAAATTTTTATGTGTTATTATTTAAGAAAATTAGCAATGTCGGCTAGCTATATACACAATGTAACATTGGTTGCAATCTTGAAGTAATTTTAATTGTGAAAAAACTCTACGAAATCAAAAGTCAAAATCTTATCATAAATTCTATAATTTAACAATACTTTAAGGAATATATATATATATATATATATATATATATATATATATATATATGTGTGTGTGTGTGTGTGTGTGTGTGTGTGTGTGTGTGCTTCTAATATAAGTTCTAGAAAACGTTATAGCTTTTTACAAAACTCACTAAAAAGATCAACCCCTAACAAACCTAATAGTAGTGCCAGTAGATCGTCGGTGTTGCTCGTCTCTTTTTTGTCTTGAATTGTGATATCTAGTTGAGTCGTTAGTCATCGCTTTGTCCTCCTCTCAGTCATCTATATGATTCCTTGACAATAGGTTGGTATCTTTTATCTCTTTAAATTTCTCAACTCCCAACTGTGCTTGTCTACTTTCTCTCCCAGGCTAAATGCTCATTCTTATTTGAATGATTTATTTGTGAATTCATAACAAAGTTAATGAATAATGAAGTAGATAAAGTCAAAAAAACAATGTTCTTGGTTTGTTTTTTTTTGTAGAGTATAGTGTTTTATGAATTATGTTTATCAGTCTATCACTGTAACATCCCATTTTCACAACCAAAATTTTTATTTTTAATTAAGGTAAAACTTCACATTTATAAATCTAAGTTAAGAAACCATTTGTCCCAAAATAAAATTGTTTGAAAACCAGAGTAATATGATAACACAGAACTCCTAATGCTACAGATGAGTGTGTACAATCACGCATTCGCCTTCCCACAATCACCAATGGTACTTGCAAAACATTTATAAACAACTAGGTAAACATGAAGCTTAATGAGTTCCCATAAAATACCACTCGCCACAATACACATATAACGCATGCACACAGGCCCACAGTCTTCTGACTAGATTTCCCCTGGCCCACAGTCTCCCGACTAGATTGCCTCTCTCATGCCTATAGCTTACAGCTGGCCCACACCTAGTATCCTGGCCTACATCACAAAGTAGGACGGCCTCAACCTGACCCACGACAATATATCGACATACACACACACACACACACACACACACACATATATATATATATATATATATATATATATATATATATATATATATATATATATATATATATAGTCACACATGCAACCAAGTAAACACATAAGCACATGCAACTATCTACACAAGTCTATCTATCTAACAACTCACTACCACATACAATGCCTCTTCCAATACACTACGTTACTACCGATGAATCTTCAAGGAATGTATAACTATATGTAACTAGAGGTGATATAGATATCCAAACAGATGATCCTACCCGAGAGCCACAACCAAACGAGGAACGGGCAAGAAAGCCTAGATCAAGAGTTCTCAAGCTATCGTATGTGACTACATATAACTCCTAGGGCACTCCATTAGATGATTACCAACCTAATGATACTCTAACCAACATACCAATACTCCTACATCCTAACACACAAGTATATATAATGTAACATGCAAGGGTACACAATACAATCTAGGTCGCCGATATTGGTGCCTTCGACCCACGAGTATAGTGAGGAAACTCACCTGAATTAGAGACCCACAATGACACAGTAACACTTCAACTCCTCTTGATTATCCGACTCGCGAACCGACTAACACCATTCAAAGACAAACCTCAGTCAACAACTTAATTCCTCCAAGTTCGACCAAAAGTCAAACTGGTCAAATGCCTATAGTCAACGGTCAACAAACACGCTTGCCACAATGTGAAGCCCCCTCTGCCACGTCATGGCCTTCTTGGGACAAAGCAGTTGACTGACAGACCCATACCACACCATGGCTACCTGTTGACCATGTCGTGGACACATCAAGACAACATAGTCACAACTCAGATAAATGTCACGTCATGGAAATCCCTTTGTCACGTTGTGGGGACCATCAGAAGGCCAAAAACTTCATTAAGTGCTTAACACTTACAGATCTGTACCCAAAATCTCAGATCTGCTTCTTTCGAATGACTTAATGGATAAATTTTCCAACTTTATCCACTAGGACTCCATTCCAAGGCTAGATCCACAATCCTAAGTCCATTAAGTCCTTAATGAATCTATAACTTGAACATGAACACAAAATACGCCAATCATGGTCCTTTTTCTCACTTATCAGACCATAGTTGACCATAAGACGCCATCCACAAGCTTTGGAGTTCTTCAACTCCAAGAACATCCAAGGAAGGGACCAAAACTACCAAAATGTGACCTAGAACATGAATCTAGAAGAAGAGATGTCAAGGAATTAACTTTATACCTTCAACAACTCAGAAAAATGAAGAGAATGTTGGATCCAAACTTGCTTCTTGCTTCCTTGTAAACTTCCCTATTCTCAAGCGTCACCAAAGATCCAAGAACAAAGCTCAAAATCAAGGAAATGGACTCTCAAACATGCATGGAGGCTAGGGTTTCGTATGGAAGGGTTGGAGGTTGAAGAGGATGCCCTAAACCTAAAGTTTAAGGGCTTAAATATGGCAGAAACCCTAAAACTCTGTGGCTTGGGCTGCACTAGCTATCATGCCGTGACATTCTTATTGCCACGCTGTGGCGACAATCCAAAACACGCATCCGATGTATTTCAGGTCACGTTGTGGTAGTCCATCTGCCATGTCATGGCACCAAGTTTTCCCCAAAAACTTTCCTCCTGATTCGTTCAAGTTCTCAGCTGACCTACACAGGAAAATAGGTGTTACAATCATTATGCTTTATTGCTTTAGCAGTATAATGTTTGGTATATTCTTAGATTTTAGGGTGCTGCTAGGGACAATGGACTTCCCATTGTTTTGGCATGTAATATTAATATAATATATATTATAATACTTAGAAATATTAGAAAACAAGAATTTAATTTGATGCCCTAACTATTTTAAACATTATCTTCTTAATAAATAATAAATAATATATATATATATATATATATATATATATATATATATATATATATATATATATAGTTAAGTTATTACCATTGATTTTTTTAGTTAAGAAAAAGATGTTTCCAACCAGAAAATTTCAACTGGGTTCTTATAAACGTAAAAGAAAACAAAAAGAAGAACAATTTATTCATAGTGAAAGAGGATGTATCAACCAATTTATCGCTAAATAAATACCGATAATGAAGAATCGGCTATGGAAGAACATAGAGAACAAGAAGCAGAATTACATGTGCCAAAAACTAAATATGTATGAAATTCATTAAGTTGTGGAAGAACTTAGGGAAGAAGTTCATGATGTTGTGGAAGAACCTAGATAAAAAGAAATTGAAGTGCAAGTGCGAGAAGATATGTCATGTGTAGATGAAGATATAACCACCTTGAATGGTAATGGTGATGATAAATAAGATATTTCAATGAACATTATCCTAGAAACTCGAACATCTAATAAATGAAGACATCAAAACATGATGTTGTGGTAGTGAATTTATGAGATGTTTGTTAGAAACTTTGAGTTTTGAGTTTATTGGTAGCAAATTTATTTAATAATATTTTATGGAAAAAAAATTTAGGCCTGATTTTGATTTTCTAAGATAATGCACACCGCTATTGCCTTTTAGTAAGGTCGATAGTGTAATATAATTAATATAGTATATGTGTACAATTATTACAATAATACATATAACAGTCTATTGTACTATATATACAACGTAAAATAAAGAAAATACACATTATTCAGTATATTAAACAATACCAATGTTTGGTAAGACAGCGTTCTCATTTATTCTTTTGTCGGATCACGGATGCCTATCAATTTTTTTTTTTTTTTTTTTTGAAAAAGACTTTTATAAGGATACGTAAAATATTATTCTTATTGTAATTCTGGAACATGTGCCGTATGTGTTGCTAGAACCCTGATCCAAACTCGGGTATGCATCTGCATATTCTAAAATAAATGTAAGAGTATTTTTGCTTAATGTGACGATTCTTTTATTTCTTTTTTGTAATGATATCTAAAAAAGCCATCTAACGATGATACACACCATGTTTTAAATTATAGGATGCATTTAAAAAGGTCATCTTGTCAATATGTTGAACAACAGGTAGTGATTTCAGGCTATATGTAGGATATTATCAGGAAATACTCCTGTACATATAATCTGCATTGCTTATTTAGTGTCCTACGTACGAGCATTCATGCAATAATGTTTACTGCAACAATTGTACCTAAAACAGATAGAACCAAAAAGCAGAGCCTCATTCAGGACCATATATTATTGATCAAGGATCGAGCCCCATGGTCCTTAGTGGTCCACTTTCCCCTCAAAACGAGACAAGTCGACCTCATTTATGAAAATAATCTTATCATGGACTGGTTTTAAAGAACTTAGTCGGATAACCTTCAACATAAGGAAAATTAAATGCTTCAAAATATGATTTAATCACGCAACTGTCAAAACTTGCAGAAACTGAAGCCTACTTGTGGAACATAGAGTAACTGAAACTGTTTCTTTCATAGATTTTTATGGCGTCCATTGGTAGCCACGACCATGGAATCAGCTTCCACATCCTTTCTTGAACGACTCCGACCACGGTGCAAATGCTTTTCACAGTACTTGTAACCGATGACAACTTCTTTGCTACACCTCCATTTCTTTCCATCTGTTCTCTTACATCTTCCTGGTTCAGCTTCCATGCTGTTTTTATAGTTGTCATACAAACTACGATCGCATCCTGACCCTGTGATTTACAAGTAGAGTTTATATGGGGAGAGTTCTATGACACTGAATAGTTAATTACCTGTGAAAGAAGCGAGCACAGAGTTCCAAATAGGGAGGAGGAGATTAGAAGGAACAGGCAATCCAGCTTCCATGTATTTGTAGATTAGAGCTTGTAATTTGAGCTCCTCCATCTGCATAAAGGTGAACCCTGTGCCCCCATTCATACCAAGAACACTCATATAGTTCGCATTTTGTTCAAGAAAAGATGATGAGTCTGCTGCTGAAGACGACGACCCTTCTACACCATTCATTACTCAACCCTCAACTACCCTGTACCCTCATTCATGTTGGAGTATCTGAGAGAAGATAGATATATATAGAGAGAGTAATAATATTTTTACTATGTAAAATAGTATATTATTTGTCGTTGGAATATTAAATGGTGGGGTAGAGAAAACAAAAAAACTAAAATATCAGACTATAGTTTGGGAAGGATGTAAAAGCGGCGGTATTAGGGTGGTGGTTGGTTGTAAGGTGTCCACGCCGCCACCATCTTAATAGTATGGGGCTAAGACAAAATAATTGGCACATTTCATAAGGCGGCTGCCGACTGGTGGTTGCCGGTGGTAAACGATATAATTTAGCTTAGCTGAGGCTGTCACTCCCCGTGAGGGGTGGTGCAGTGTTGCAACAGTTTCTCTCTTAATTTGACCCCCCTCTTTATTGATGTTCCAGAGATGTCACGGTTCATACGTGAGTTTTTTAATTGACATGTGTTCCATATTCAATTATTGGTCACAATTATTATGATATTTTTTGCCATGGTTTTCAATATTTTTCATCAGTTAATTAACCGGACCACTGTGAGTGCACTAGATTAGATTAGATGAGATGATGTGTTACTTTTTATGATAAAGATGACGAGTATTAACATCTTTTGCAAGACTAGATTAGATGAGATGATGTGTTACTTTTTATGATAAAAATGAAAAGAGTATTAACATCTTTTGCAAGGGCGAATGATTGAGATGGAGTCCTTGTCCCATTCCATTAAAAGTCGTTAATTCAGATGAATATATATGGATTGTGATTGAATGTTTGAATGTTCTTATATTTTTTATTTAGTTGTGATGTATGTTGGTTGGCCGATTTTGTGTCTTAGTGTATATAATAATTAGGATTTTATTTTCTTGTATTTTAAATTTAAAAACTATAAAACACGACAAAAAATTACGAAAACAAAAACCATAGCAAAGATGGATCTCACAACACTTGGGCTAACATGGCTAGCTTCCCTTGACCTAAGGCTGACATCAACCGAAAATGGTGCAACCACTAGGATAGAAGCCCAACGGTACTAACGGCCCATCAACACACTTGGCCCACTAGGCCAAGGCCAAGCTGAGGAAACACTCCATCTCCATTGGTGCTCCTTGAAAAAAAAAAAAAAAAACAAATGTTATATTAGCTCATCAAGTTTATTGTGTTTGTTTTAAAAGGCCACTAAACTTTTTTTTAACACTAAAGAAACTAACTCTCATATGACCGTTTAATTACGTCCTTTTACCAATTGTAAAAGGTTTAAAAGATATTTTGGTGACGTGGCCTCCACAGTGGAACGTGATTCGACTAGTACTGTTCCTATCTTGGTCCCCAAGTTTGCCAAGTCATCCCCGATGGTCCCCCTTATAAATTGAAGGGTACCCTAAATGAGCGTTCCCCACCCACTTTGTTACCCTAATCGTATCATTTGCTTAATACAGCCAATTTCAATCTTTTTCCTTGTTGGCTACTATAAATCAAGAAGATGGACTCAGAACAACGGTGGTTTCAGAGTATCGGACCTAGACGTACCAACTGACTACGAGCTTCACACCATGGAAACGCAAGTGCAGATTGAGGAAATGAGAGATGACATGCGACAATAGCTAGACGAGTTTAGGGAAGAAATACGTTACTTGAAAAGATCGTGACTGTGATGGCTGATGTTGGAGTTGCAGTGATGTCGTTGATCGGGGTTCATGGTTGCGTCAAATGCTCTGGGTGGGGATTTTGGTGGGTCTAGTTATGTCGGTAGGTAGCACGATGACGATTTTAGCGTTTTTTTTTTTTTGGTTTTTGGGGTTGTTGAAGGTTGTTTGTTTTTGTCTAACTTCGCCATCTGCTAGTATAATATTATGTATTAGGGTATGTTTTGTTGTTGGTGATTATGTGTATTAGGGTATGATGTTTGTTGGTTATTTTGATCAGTGGTGACTTTTGACGATGTTAGGGTTTTTAGAACCATATTTTTGGGGGTTTTTGGTAACACGATAACCTCATTTGTAATGTATGGCCACTTCGACAAATGAAATGAAATCTAGTTTCTATTAACCAAACATTATGATGTCATTTAATATTTATTAATCTTCTCGTAGTACCAACTGTTATGTTAACTGTTGATTGATTTGTTCATGTGGATCGTACCATTGTTTGTACAGTCAAAGTACCTTGCCATATTTGTTTTACAATCACAAAGAAACATGCTTGTTATGTCAAAGTACCTTGTTATGTCAAAGTACCTTCTTATATATGTTTTACAATCACAAACAAACATTCATGTTACATCACAAACAAACATTCATGTTATGTCAAAGTACGTTGCTATATTTGTCTTACAACGACAAACAAACATTCATGCATTTATTAATGTCATTACTTGGTGTTTTTAGGACACACTAACAAACTTAACAAGACCATAACAAACATGAAAGAAAGATATCTAACCCTAACAAACATACTCCGTAAACAAAACACCTTTAATCCAAGTCCATTGGTTTGGATGATTTATCTCCTTCACCGTTTTTTCCCTCAACCCTTTTTGCCAACTTTTTCTTTATTATCCTCTCTGAATTTTTCCTTAACTTGACTGTACATTGTTGTTGACCATTCTTCTTAGTCACAACACTTGTTGACCCACCTTCACCTTGTCCCGTTTTGACACCACTTTCACTTCCACCTTCACCTTCACCCTTTCCCTTTTTTACACCATTTCCCATTTGCACTTGACCCTTCCCTTTCTTCAATGCACTAGCTTGACCCTTCCACCTTCAACCTTCTTCTTTTTTACCTAACTTTTTTGGGGTTTTGACATTGCATTATAGGTTGACTTATTGTTCCCTTTCTTTTTATAAACACCACATACAATCTTTTTTTTTTCCTGACTTAGATACTCTTTGTGATCCACTAACCTATGTATTGTCCCTTTTTCTCTTTATATTGAGTCTCCCTGTCATCTTCCTTTTCAATGGTGGTAATGGTGCTATGTAGTCTGTTGGGGGGGGGGGGGGGACACATTACACTCCTATTCATGCTTCATATTAAGTACTTATAGGTGTTCAAATATATGTAAGAACGATATACCGGATCAACAAATGCCTCTACATCTTTGTTTACATAAGAAATGGTTGCCACTGAATGTACACAACTATACCCATTTAGTTGCCAAATTCCTACAAGTGCATGTTTTCTTTTCCAAATCAACACCATAAGACTCTCCTAAGTTTCTTGTTTCAAAGGTATTCAGTCCACTAGGAAGCACTTGCCAGTACCTACAAATAAACACAGTTACTAAGAGCTATTATGGTTGAAAAAGAGTGGCAGAGAAGAACAAAGTACCTTTTTGGATCTTCAATTTACTTATGGAAAGCCTTATGTTTGGACATACATCAAAATGTCCCAATCTACTACCTTTCTATCTCAAACTACACATCATCTGCATCACATATAGTCTCATATCCTCCAGCATAGTAATAATTGGCTTCTTCCTAGCATCCAAGATAACATTGTTAAAACTTTCAGACAACCTATTCTCAACAGCATCACACCCCCTTCCTATTTGAAAAAATCCTCTTAACCATGACTTTGGATTCCTTCCCATAAGATGCACATAAGCAACAGGGCTAATCATTTGAATCTCTTTCATTGTAGAATTGAAAAGCGGTTCAATTGATGCCTTACAAGCCTTCCAAAATAATTTCTCATATTAAGCCCCAGGTAATTTCTTCTTGAAGTTGGACAGAATATGCCTGGCACATTGCCTATGTATCTATCTCTGGGAATAAATCCTTCACTGCTTCAATTATCCCATGCATTTACATTATAAGGACATTTAGAACTAGATCACAATTGAAACTCATAAAGCATGGCATAATGAACAAAAACATACCTTATGTTGATCTGACATCAATGTCTTACCATACCCCCCTTCAAGATGTAGATATTCTTGCAAGTTTTCAAGAAACCATTTCCAGTTGTCTTTATTTTCAACACAAACCACAGCCCAAGCTATTGTGTATATATGATTGTTTCCATCCCTCCCAACAACACATAATAACTAACTAGTACACATTGCTTTTAAAAACACTCATCCAAGTTTATAATCCCTCTACAACCACTTCTCCAACACTACTTTAGTGCATGAAAACACACACACACACACACACACACACACATATATATATATATATATATATATATATATATATATATATATATATATATATATATATCCGGCTAAAGTAAGTTTTCCCATCTGGCATAGAGTTCACAGACAACTTGACTGTTGACCCTGGATTATACCTGCTTATCTCCTCACCATAGGACCAAAAAATGACATAATTTTCCACTATGGTACCTTCAACAAGTGAAACTACATGTTGCTTAGCTCTACTATATTGTCCCATACTAACCTCTATGCCAAATTTGGTCTTTACTTCCTCTTTTAGCATCCTAACATTGGATTTCTGATTCTCAAGAACTTCCCTGGTGAAATGACTACCAATCCATCTATAATTAACAATTGATCCTAACTTAAAATTTCTTGCACAATTATGCTCATTGATAAGGGACTTAATTTGGAATGATTGCTCCTCAGTCATCCATGACGCCCAGAGCCTAAATGTGCATTCACCATCACAACACTTAACCAATAACCTTTTACTGTTATTTTTTTCATAGTACAATTGATACCCATTGGCTACAACATAATTACAAAGCATGAATTTCAATTGTTTAGGGTTGGTGAACCTTATACCTAGAATTGGCAACTGCTTCTTCCAAGATATGTCTTCATTAAACATTGGTTTTCCTTTCACATCTGGGACATTGTCATCGTCAACATCTGGGACATTGTCATCTTCATCATCTTTTGGATCACCTTTTGTGGCATCCTCATTTCCATTTTCCTGACTTACTCCTTCATAGGTTACTCCTTCCATGTTGCTCTGTTGTGGACTCATGAACTCAGTTAGGTCAATACCTTATTCCCCTTCGATTGACATGTTTGACTTAACAGAACAATTATCCTCATTTTCATTTTCCATAGTTACGTGCACAGTAGTACCAAAATGGTCCATGTAAACAACCAGTTGTAGTCCACACCGA